ATATATATATATACATATATATATATATATATATATTTGTAAATACTAATTAGTGCTTTCGATGAGACATTGAAACCTCTTATTATGGATTTTGCCATGACAATAGTATACACTTTAGACTATACATAACGTTTTGAAATTATAACTCTCTCCATGATATCTCTTTATCACTTTTCACATATTAAGTAACAATAAAATTGTTACAGCCAGCATTAAGAGGACAAGCAAAAAAAAAAAAAAAAAAAAAAAAAAAAATTTTTTTTTTTTTTTTTTGTTACCATTACAGTGCAAGTTGTCATTGTGAGCATGAAATGAGCACTTAAAAGTCATTTATGTCGGTTAAGTATGTGTAAAGGATGTCATTTTTTAACCTAATTATATCTTTATTTAAAAACCTATATACTACTTACATGTAATCTAACCTGTAGAGGGGTACTTTCGTTTATTAAATAATAATATTTAATGGTCAAAAGATACTATTCAATGAACGGAAACGGTGTCTTACAGTTTTTCTAAACACTCAAAGAGTGTTGAAGTGAAATATTTCAGTCAATGGGGGCTATAATTTAGGCAAAAAAACACGGGTTGTCAAACAATTTAAATAACATTGTCATATGAATCATAAAATGTGAAGTATTTTAACATGTTTAATATGAGCAAAAATTTAAAAAAAAAAAAAAGATTCCTTAAAAAAAATTAAAAAATGGAAATATATATCGAAGAATAGTTTCAATATATAGGTGTAAACGGTGTTTAGTAAGAATGAGCAATTAACGAAACAAATCAAATCAATTAAGAATTTGTGTACGCGTATTTTTTTACAAGTATGATGTTGGCACCAACTAATTCTAGCACAGTTCAGATTAAGCTTTTAACACTTCGATAACATTTTGGATTTTTCTTGCAGGCTTATTTTGTTGGGATTTGTTTCCCAAATTTTGTATTGATTCTAATCGTATTGATTGACATTATTTTGAGAATGTTTGGCTGGATGATTGTGTTTGGAAATTGATATGCACCTGGCACGTTTCTTATGGAAGGTTACTAAAAGATCTGGAAACTTAATTTAGTTTCTATTTTTAAAAGTCAACTATTGATCCAAAGATGGTAAATTGATTATTGGTGATTTGATTGAGTTTTCATAGTTGGATGATCTTCCTCTGTCTCCTAGGAATGAGTCCAGATTCTTATATCAGTTCGGGAAGGTTTCAGAATTAAAGGAGTTTGATTCGGATTGGTTTTGAGAAAGTTCACCGTGACAGTGATGTTGCAGTTATTGTTGCAACAAGGATCTGCAACAGATTTGGTTCTGTAATGACCGGGAAAAATTTAGGTCTAATCTGGACAGTCCAGTATTTGACCGAAATTCTTTCCGGAATAGTAAGTAGTAGAATTTTGATGTAATCAAGAAAATGTTATGTAAAAATTTTATGTACGGGGTAAAATCTCCCGAAAAGTATAAAGTTGTTATACGAATATTTTTATAAAGAAAATTCGTAAATATCACTTATGAATAGTGAGATATTAGTTCAAAATTAGAAATTTTAGTGAGTATATTTAAGTTATGAAAAATTGAAATATTTGGTAT